ATTTTGTACGATTTTTAACTAGTCAACTTGAAAATGTAACTACAACATGATTCAAGTAACTTTTTCTTTATTAACTGTCTAGTTAAAGAAAATTCTATTCTAAGTGCACCACACATTAAGTTGTAATCATGATGTAAATGTTAAACAAATCACTTGTTAAATATCTTTGCAGAAAAGATGCATGAACTACAGCTACATCTTGTACAGACTTGTCTTATACATATTATATGTTCAGAAATAATACGAGAAAAATGCTTTAAAAAGTCGTAAAAGTCAATGTAATTCAAATTCAAAATGACTGAAGGAATAACACCAGTAGACTATTATTAACTATAAATGTTCTGTAAAAACAATGAACGGCAGTTTTCAGCCTGTCAGCATGATGCAAACATGAAATATCAGACATACAGTAGTAGTTCTTTACAGGTTTTTTAAAAATTCGATTGCGCTGCTTTTCCATTGTTTTTTCTATGTGAACATGGACGCGTTTGACTGTTGCGTTCGCGTCTTTTGCAGCGTCTCATGCATGAAACGGCATTCTATTCGTACAACTGTGGTTATACAATTGGTAATACGCCAAAAAACATGGTCAATTTTCCCAGTTGTTGGGGTAATTTAGATTTTTTTTTTTTCAATGTAAACACAAGCTAGATGGACGTGTATGAATGCTATGCTCACGTCTTTTCAGCGTCTCGCACATGAGCGCCACGTTTTTAAGACACCGTGTCAAGTTAAAAGAATTTCAACTTTTACACGCAGCGCTGCTCATCAATGTCAGTTCCAAAACAGTGGACCAATCAGAAGACCCCAAGTGTTGCGAGCTTTTGTTTACAGAAGCAAGTTGGCATGGCAGCTGTTTTATTTGACGGCAACATGGCGGAGGAGGCATTCTGCGCTGCACTTTAAAAAAAAAACATTTGTGAGTGCTGCGTCTCACGTTTTTAGACACGGATGAGTTCTGTATGAACAGCCTAGGGCTGGGCGATACGGCAAAAAAATACAATCTCGATTTTCTCAGAACATTTGACCGATTCTCGATTTTGTACGATTTTTAACTAGTCAACTTGAAAATGTAACTACAACATGATTCAAGTAACTTTTTCTTTATTAACTCTCTAGTTAAAGAAAATTCTATTCTAAGTGCACCACACATTAAGTTGTAATCATGATGTAAATGTTAAACAAATCACTTGTTAAATATCTTTGCAGAAAAGATGCATGAACTACAGCTACATCTTGTACAGACTTGTCTTATACATATTATATGTTCAGAAATAATACGAGAAAAATGCTTTAAAAAGTCGTAAAAGTCAATGTAATTCAAATTCAAAATGACTGAAGGAATAACACCAGTAGACTATTATTAACTATAAATGTTCTGTAAAAACAATGAATGGCAGTTTTCAGCCTGTCAGCATGATGCAAACATGAAATATCAGACATACAGTAGTAGTTCTTTACAGGTTTTTTAAAAATTCGATTGCGCTGCTTTTCCATTGTTTTTTCTATGTGAACATGGACGCGTTTGACTGTTGCGTTCGCGTCTTTTGCAGCGTCTCATGCATGAAACGGCATTCTAAAAACGCGGTGCTCTAGTTATTAAAAGATGTTCAACTCCCATCTTCTTGCATTTTTTCATATTCCACTGCCCGCGTCGTAGCTCTGTCAACACAAAAGCGCATTCTGTGTGAATGGCACCTAGCAATATATTCTATTTATGGTCCTTCACAAAGCGCGTCACACGTGAGCGGTTAATCACATGTGCCGACGTGCGGTTGGATTGCTCTTTTCTCTTTACTGTTATTGTCAAAGTGTCTAATTCTGACGTTTGATAATATTGGTATTCAAAATCGCGATTCTGGATATATAAAAAATTTTAATTGTGGCAAAACATTAAATTTGAATAAATCGAAATCGAACAGCCCCTTAGGTTTCATTCAAAATATCTTAATTTGTATTTCAAATAACGATAGATTTGAAAAAGAAACACTATGCTTATGCTCCAAATGTTTAACCGCTATCGAATCGACTTGTGATTTTTTTTGTTTTTCATTTTCATTAATGGCTTACTTTCAAAGCTGCTGCTGCTGCTTCTAATCATCTCTTGTCCTGATGATTTTAACTCTGAATGACAGCTTTAGGACGTTACTGGGCGAACAGCTCACCTAATTTCATCTTTGGGTTTTATTCTGCACATCTCCCTCTGGCAGCCATCTGCGGGCATGAGTCATCGGTGCAGCGCCGGGTCAGTCTCTGACCTCTGCCTGCTCATTTCTGCCATCAGCTCTCAGGATTTTTTAGTAATGACAGGAGCAATCTGGCATGCTGTGAATAGGTATAGATTTAAATGTGTTATTTATTTGCTTATAAATTTCGTTTGGTTGCTTGTGGTTTCTGGATGTGTAACATTAATTGAAAATAAGCTATGAAAGGCATTTTAAAGCAGAGACGGACGTCACAGGTCATGTAGTGCCTTGAGTAGCAGGCAGACAGACGTTGGTGTTTTGTTACTTGTGTCTTGGATTGCGTAAAGCATCAGGAATAACTGATTGGTCCTGTGTCTCTACACAGACATGAATGGAGAAAAGGAAGTGGCTCTTGGCATCATGAATAACATGACACAAGATATTACCATTGGAGAAGTATTGATCAACTCAAACATTACGCACTGCACATTATTTGCCAGTGACTCTGTTTCTGTGAAGAAAATTAGACAACTAAAAAAACTATTTAAAGAAAAAATTTATAAAAAAATATTCAACTGGCAACCCTGGCAAATGATAATTTATTTAATGCAACACTGTTTGGGTGTGAAGGACAGTTGTTAATAATATTTATCAATAGAAAACATAGTTGTAAATACATGTAATTGTAAATAAATAATTTTTTTATACATGCCACTGGTTTAATCTGTCACCAAGTGAAAGGGAAATTGAGGGAAAAGCAATTTCCTTTTTTTCTAATACTGATTTTTTTAATATAATAAATATATATAAATAAATACACACACACATGAATTGATTAATTCATTCATTGAACTGAACAGTTTTGAATGAGTCAAAAAGATTCACACAAATCGGTCACAAATGTAAATCATGGTCACAAGCATTAAGCATCATATAAAAGATGTGATCACATTTTACTGGTATTTATAGCACTGGTCACGCTAAGCGTTTTACGGACAGTTTTACTAAACACGATAAATTAGCGCGAGAGCGCAATTCCAAAACCGCGCCGATGGGAGGGGAAATTTCTACGGGTGATTTACTAACAATGCGCAAGTTAAAGAACACATGCAACATCTCATTTACATATCGACCAACGCAATATACCAAGCACAGCGCAAATTAACGTAGTCGCAAATAACGAATAAAGAAGCCACAGTACGTTGAAAAGAACCGGAGGACAAAAATTTACGGTTTGCTAGACCTGGTATTGCGTGACTCCTAGTTGAGGGTTCAAAGTCGTTTTTTATTTCCTGAAGCAAATTTAAAATAACATGTCTTGGCAAACGATATGTTCGGATAATGTGTTCTTCTGGCATTCAAAATAAATTAATACGTGCGGAAAAACCCTCTCCCTTCTACCACGTGCTTTCTGTTGTCTGCGGTGCCTCGTCCTATCAACAATAATTTCAGCCATTTCAAGCGCTAAATAGTTTAAGACATGCTTTTTTGGGCGTTAAATAATGGCGCAAATGCCAGTAATTTGATGAGCGCAAACGTTAGTAAAACGCGTTGCTTGATTCATTTGAATACTCTCCTCCCATACATTTTGCATCTGAAAAGGAAACTCCTACAAATGCATATTCAATAAGGTCAAGCGCAAAAATAACTGTGCCTATGCCTTTTCAGCGCTAATTTATCACTGCGCGTCTTTAGTAAAATTGGCCCCAAGTCATTTTGTTTCATGTTTAATCATACAGAAATGACGGGGGTGGATTTGTTCTGAGATTCGAAAACAGCTCAAATAAGGATTCGGCTTTTTGATCAAATCATTAAAAAATATAATGGAAACATTATGTACTTTTTTTGTACACTTGAAAGACACATTCTATATAATGGTATACGATCATATAATATTCTAAAATAGCCAACTACAAGGTACATTTATATGTGACACTATATACCATTTATTGTTTACATCCATTATTCATTAACTACTGCCATGACG